CTTGATCCAGCACCACTGCCACCGCATCACCCACAACTGGTCTAGAAAATCTCGTTTTCCTACGTGCCAGTTCGAAGAGCGCGTTGTGGTACTGTGTTCGGGAAAAGGTGGTTAACTCCCCCAAACCTGTGTTTTCTGTACCATCAGGCTTCCAACCATCATTTTTTGCAAGATGCCATACGCGCGCCGAGCTTCCGCATTGAGGAATGCCTGATCCGCAACACACTCCTGTAAATCTTCCATCGGCCGACCTAACAGCATCCCAGTAATTTTGCCAACATAGGCTTCCTCTTCATTTCCATTCTCCAGAAGAGCTTTGTAGATCTTTTCTCCATAAAGTTGCCTTTCTTTTCGTTCTTCAGAAGACAACTCCTGTACCACAAGCTCTTCATCGGATTGCTCTTCCTCCTGTTTCCAGTCCCATTGACCGTTGGAATCTTGGTACCATTGACCAGCATACCATGAATCCGTCCACCACGTACTCCAGCCGCTGGGTTTCCACTTCCGCAGCGTCGAAGAAGAGTCCTCCACGTCCTCTTCCAAAACCAGAAAGGTGTCCAAGATTATGGTACCATCATCTTCCACTCGTTTCACTGTTCCATTGACAGTATCACCAAACTTGAACTGATATGCATTGTTCCCTTCTGCAGGAATCAATACATTCATATCCCCATGGTCCAAAAAGGCTCCATACCCATTGATGCAGCGCACTAGACCCATGATCTCATCTCCCTCTTGATAGCAATGTGGCCCAGGTGACTCCAAGGCTCCCGCTCGGGGCACTTTCTTTACACGCTCTTCAGAAACCATCTCTGTATCATCGGCTCCTGGCGCATCCTTTGTCTTCACCTTTGGGTCACACTGCTCGTCCTGCTCCACGAGTCCCACAAGCTCATCTTTTTTGTGCTCCTGGATTTCAGGACCTCCCTTTTTCTCCGCCAACGGCTTTGCCTCATCTGCTGTAGTTCGCTCGGTGTCGACTTCCGGTGAACTTCCAGACGGCAACGCTTCTCCCTTCATGGGAGTGGACCCATCATTGGAGTCCTTTGTCTCACCTTCTGCAGCAGGCAAATCTTCTTCCACTGCAGGGCAATTGAGTCGATCATCCACGGCAGGCACGCTTTCTTCCACCGCAGGCTCCTTTGGTTCCATGGCCTCCAAAGGAGAATTTCCACCATCATTGACCACAGCTGCCTCATTGGCTCCGGTGTAGCCCTTGTCATTTCGTTCCTCGCTGCTAACTTCAGGTTGCACCAGTGCGTCCACCTGTGAACCTCCATCATCAGCTGCTGCGGAGACCTGCGCCCCATTGTTGCAGTCGCCCGTGGAACGTACCACCACATGCACCTCAACCCGTGCTTCCTTCGCACTCCAGGTAATATCTGGCGCATCAACCCGCGCATCATTGGCGCTCCAGGCCTCATTTTTCAGATCATCCGTGTCTCCAGCTATTCCAGAAGCTTCTTTTTCCCCTTGAATGGCAGAATTCTTGGCACCAAACGAAGAGACCTCCTCAGTCGTAACACACAACTTTTTCTCTCCATCCTCCGAATCTCCAGGACCACCTTCCTGAACAACAGGTACCACATCCACCACTCGCTCTTCTGCAGCCGACACAGTTCCGATCACCTCATTGGGCATTTTCTCTTCTGGATCCACCAATTCCATCGCTGCCCCACCCTCAGAAAGCGCTTCTGTTTCTTCCCGATCCAGGTGTTGAGCTCCAGCGATGTTGGCTTGGTTCCCAGGAATCCCTTCCTCATCAGGAGAACCCGAGGTCGGGGCGTCACCATCAGCCCTAGGACCGCTATCCCTGATAGTAGAGGAAAAATCTTTTTCACCTAAACTATTTACACTACCCTGGAATGCCCTCGTAGACTCAGTCTTCGGAGTAGAGGATGAAGAATCCAGTGCCGCCTCCATTTCCAGCTCATTGCCCAAAGGAGACCCAACCACCTCGTCACTCTTCACCTTTTCACCTACCACCGGCAATGTCCACTTGGTTTCGTGCGTATCCAGGCAGTAATAATATTGTCTCCCATCTTCATGGAGGTGCAATTCCCACATTGTGCCATCACACGCTTGGATCAGATGCTCGTCTTTCCGAAAACCGTCCCTTTCAGAAACCTGTCGCATCTCGTCCTCTTCTTCTGACAGCTGTCGCAACCGTTCAGCCTCCATCTGTAGGATCTCCTCCTCCCCCATGGCGTATTCAGCAGCAGGTGCAGCTTCAAAGCCGTCCGCACCCTTCTGTTTGTGACCGCTTCCACCACCTTGGGAACTCGAAGATGGACCCTTTTTGATCTTGTTCAACGGCCTCCTGGTCGCTTGTAGCACTTCTCCAATCAGATCGGTCTGAGACTCTTGGTCTACCATTCGACCCGAAGTCGAAGACGACGGCTGGTACCCGTGTTTGTGTAACACTCGTAAAACAGTCACCTCCATTTCACGATCTATGCCACCAGTCGCATCCCAGTTCCTTTTTTCACCAGGCTTTGGCGGTACAGAAACAGCACGTCCTTCAGCTTCAGCATTGCTAACCATATCCCTATTGGGATTCATACCCGCATTGGGGCTTTCTGCAACTAAGGCCTCTTCCAGATGTACTTCAGCGTCGGGAATCACCTCTTCCAACACCGATCTTTCACCCAGAGACTCAGCTGCACCATTTCCAGCTCCACCATCTTGTCCACCATCCGAGGCAAGTTGGAGCCATCGCTTCGGGGAAGGCATTGCTTCTTGATCCCAAAAACCTTAAGACAACACTTAACCGCAGGGAACCTAATTTGGGCTCATAACCTACGGGGGGACAACCAAGGAAGGAAATCAACTCCCCTAATCGCCCTGAACTTATATTTCCCAGATCGAACCAAGAAACAACCAAGAACACGGATAAGAGCAACCCAGGGGGGAAGGAAAGGGGGAAGGAATCCACACCCTTACCAAACCCTAAGAACCCAGGCACTTCTTTTTGAACTTGTGGCTTTCTGTTCAAGCCCATCTTGAGCCAAATACGATTACCGGGTTCATTAACCCTTCCAACTTCCAACACTAACTCCTTTCTACAATACCAATTGCAGCTCCGCACCCTAAACCCCCCCCCCCCCCAAAAAAAAAAAGCTCAACAATACCCAAGGGCCTGGCCTGGGCCGTCCGCTCAGGCACCACCTCAGCAAGCTGGAGGCCAAAGAGTCGCCGTGCTTGACCGTGCGCCTTGGGTGTCATGGCTTCGAAGGTGAAGGTTTAGGGTTTAGGGTTTGGGGTTTGGGGTTTAGGGTTTGGGGTCTGGGGTATGGGGTATGGGGTTTGAGGTTTAGGATTTAGGTTTAGGGTTTAGGGTTCTTCTCTCTCTTTGCTCAGTGGGGTTTAAGGCGGTTGGGGGCTCAGTGTATTGGGGGTTCTGGGTTTAGGGCTTAGCGCTTGGGTTCATGGCGACTGGATTGCTTTGAGGTTTCAGGTTGAGAGTACCAGCAGCGTTGCTCTTAGCTTAGAGAATTTCCGTTGAAGGGCCTCGATACTATCCATTAAGCCGTTGAGGGTTTGGGGGTTAAGGGCTAGGGTTTAGGGCATCCAAGGGGGTGTCAGGGGAGGCCTGTTCCCTGCCTAAGACGTATTCGGGCTCAGCCCCTAAACCCTAAACCCTAAACCCCAAACCCCAAACCCTAAACCCTAAACCCCAAACCCCAAGCTTTTCTTGGAGGGGTCTCGGGGTGCCGGGATCCTTATCTGAGCTGTGCTGAAGACTTTCTTTTGAACAGGTTCCCTCATGAGGACAGAAGGGAAATTTGAAAAAAAAAACCAAATCACATCGCGCGACCCAGTGACCTTGTGTGGTTGGAAGAGTATGACTCACATGACTCAAAGTAGGGAACAGTCACTGCCCTAAACCCTAAACCCTAAACCCTAAACCCTAAACCCTAGACCCTAATCCTAAACCCTAAACCCTGGGCTTCACGGCTTTACTTGTGCATGGTCGCCCACTTCGCCACAAGACACAAAACCCCACTCAACGCAAGTTTAGGGTTTAGGGTTTAAGGTTTAGTGGTCCTTCAAAACATTATAAGCTCGTTTGGAGAGGGGGAGGGAGGGAGGGGGGTTTTCCTTCCATGCTTCTTTCTAGGTGAAAGGATAGGGATAGCATAGGGTTGAAGCTTTCCCTTTTACCTGAACCTGCAAGCCCCACATATCCAGGTTCTTGTAGCTGCCAAACAAAGCCTATTCCCTCACCCTTCTATCAAACCTGGGTCTCACCGCCAGAAAGCCTAGATCCGATAAGTGCACTCTTAGGGTGTATAGGGTTCGGGTTTAGGGTATATAGGGTTTGGGGTACAGGGTAGAGAGTTAGCGTGTACCGAAGCCCTAAAGTGAGGGTTGTGGCAGTCCCCTTTCCCCCTCGGCTGCCTCGGTCACTTGAAGTCCTAGGGGAGGTCGCAGAACAGTCCACTCCTCGCCAGAGAGTTAACTGTCCCTTGACTAACTCAAAGAAAATATGGTAACTTAAACTATGTTGAGACTCTCTTCTTGAGACTTTCTCAGTGTACTCCTGTAAGATTTCAAGGCACGAGGCTAAGGGTGTAGGGGTTTTGAGTGAAGCCCACTTAGCGCCCATCTCAAGATACAAGATACCCACCAATCCCCCCCCCCCCTGGGCCCAGTAAGGACGGGCCTTAATCAAGGGCTGCAGTGCCTGGACACCCCAATGTCATCGCCTAATCTTCCTTATCCTACTCGAATCCCAAGTACACCTCAAGCAATCTTAGCCAGGTGTAGATATTTGGATCGGGGCGCTCATCGGGAGTTCTGAGCTGTTTCGGGCGGGGTTTAGGGTTTATAGGGTTGAGGGTTGAGAAATGAGGGATTCATGGTACTTCGTTTGCCCCGGCGAAAGGGAACTGCCCCCTCTCCATCATTACCCCTTTTTTTGCCCCAAACCCCAAACCCCACACTCTTCTCTCCAACTAACCGCCAAAAGATCCTTTAACCTAGGGCATGTCCTTGCTTTAACCTGCAGCGGACTTCGCTTCTGATGGTGCATGATGATGAACCGCCACCTTTCAATCCATACCCTATGAGCCCTTTAAGCCGGCGACGCTGAGCCCCTTAAGTCCGAAACCTCCCTAGACCCTATGAACCTGACAATGCGGCTTAGGGTTTAGGGTTTAGGGTTTAGGGTTTAGGGTTTAGGGTTTAGGGTTTAGGGTTTAGGCTTTAGGGAACCTTAAAAACACAAAGCACGTGGTTCTGTCGTGTCTCCGGCCGGCGCTCCCACATGGATCGACTGGAAAAGGCCTCCTGCGGTTTAGGATTTAGGGTTTAGGGGTTTAGGATTTAGGGGTTTAGGGTTTAGGGTTTAGGGGTTTGGGGTTTAGGATTAGGGTTTAGGGGTTTAGGGTTTATAGGGTTTAGGATTTAGGGCCTCGCAGAGTTTAGGATGCAGGGTCAGGTTTGGTTTTGGGATTGAGGATTTAGGATTTAGGGTTGGGGCTTAAGGTTTAGGACTTAGGGTTTCGACGCTCACACTCAACCCTAAACCCTAAACCCTAAACCCAAAACCCTAGACCCTAGACCCTAAACCCGAAGCAGAGGATTTCAGGTTAGTGGCCTTTCCGTCAGTTGCTTGTCTTGGGGGCTCAAGGCTTTGGACTTTAGCGGCCCATGGACCTTCAAGTAGTTTAGGGTTTAGGGTTTAGGGTTTAGGGTTTAGGGTAGTTACATGGTCCCTTAGTATGGGCCCTTAAAAAGGGTACCCCTTACGCTATCCATTATATACCGGCTTCTTAGCTGCAGGCAGGGGGAAGTTTGCGGCTTCCAGCAGGGATGGCCATGATTCGCGGGCACTTATCACGAAACCCGAACACTCTAACACGGCAAGCACCCCAAATTAGGGGCCTACAACACCCTGCTCTGTGATGGAAGACACGACGAAGACGCTGCGTGGCCCCTGGGAAGTCTTCAGGTTCAGAGACCTGGGTTGTTCAACCTGGGGGTGTTGAATAGGGTTTAGGGTTTAGGGTTTTAGGGTTTAGGGTTTAGGGTTTTAGATTTAGGGTTTAGGGTTTAGGGTTTAAGTTCAAAATTTAAGGGTTCACAAGAACCAAAACAACTAGAAGTAATGCCCCTGCAAGGGATTCTGGGAAGCAGTAGGATGGTTCCTACTACTACCACCGCCCCCCAAAGTTGAACATGACCACCGAGGTGCACATAAGAGGGTGGGGGGTGGGGGGGAGGGAGGGGGTGCCCTACTTGGAGGTCCATGGGTACTTTAGGGTTTAGGGTTTAGGGTTTAGGGTTATTAACTTCACGAAACGTATGTTTATAACCTACTTAGAGGACTTCGGGGGCTTATACGTGCTTAGAACCCAGAGACTCCAAAACCCCTAAATTTAGGGACATCCCCTAAATTATACTAGGAACCCGAATATTAGTATGGTTCTAAGGCATATTCCTTAATTGAAAAGAATTTGGAGTCTCTGGGAAGTACCATGTGGACCATCCTCCCAGGCTGCGACGCGAATTTCTGCAACAGGGTGTGAGCGAGTCTCCTCCATCTGCACCTGATACTTGAAGGTCACGTTGTGCTCCTCAATAATGACAATAATCATAGTAATGATAAGAATAGTAATGATAAAATCGTAGTAGTAATCATAATAACAATACCAAAAAATAACAACAATAGAAATAGTAATGATAAAAATAGTAGTAGGAATAATAATAACAATAATCGTAAGGACAGCAACTTTAGGCCGTCACATGTATGGAGAGTATCGGATCCGGCATGCTCCGCAACACCGAGTTGTCCAGAAACTGGTCCGAACACCGATAGTCTTGTTCCGACTTCTCAGGCCACAAAAAGAACCAGTAACATGCTGCCAGCACTCATACCACTGGGGTTTAGGGTTTAGGGTGCCACCATAATACTTTGTGGGCGATTACCCGAAACCTTAGGGGGAGCAAAGGGGGAGAGGGGACTGTCCATGAGAGGTCCAGTTATCTACGGCCATGGTCCCAGTTAACCCTCAACCCCCTCCTAAACACTAAGCCCTAAACCCTAAAACCCTTAAACCCTAAACCCTAACCTCCTTACACCCTAAACCCCAAACCTGAAACCCTAAACCCCATCTCCTCGGAATGCAGTATCTTGCGCCAGGAGGTCCGGTCATGGACCGATTCGGCCGTCACAAAGCAGGTGACCGGCATTCGCAGGTTCCGCAGGGATCGCTGGCCAAAGATCACCTCGAGAGCTGGGGTGCTTTGGGTTTAGGGCTTAGGGCTTAGGGTTTAGGGTTTAGGGTTTAGGGTTTGGGGTTTAGGGTTTAGGGCTTAGGGTTTCGGGGTTGAAGGATCCTACTTGAAGGTTCAGGGTAGTTATTAGCCAATCATAGCTGTACTGATAACCCAAATTATGAACCATGCTAGGGCTCTACTTGGAGGTTCAGGGTACTTGCAAAAATTAGCCAATTCTACCTGTACTTATAACCCACGAATACGCCCCTGAAGTGCGCTAACATGGATATAGCTTGGGTTATAAGTACAGCTATCATTGCTTAGCAAGTGCCCTGAACCTTCAAGTAGGGGGCACGGAACCTCGTAAGGAAGCAGAATTCACATTTTACGAGGGTCCGAGTTCTGAGCGAAAAAGTATCAGATCCGAGTTACGAGCTCAAAGTATGAGGCACATTGCTTGCTTAAGCTTGTTTAAGGGTTTAGGGTTTAGGTGGTCTTACCGAGAGTGTACGTCTGAGTCTGTCGGTTGCGGCCGCCTGTTTCGGGCAGGGCACCAACAGCGCAACTGCAGCGCGACTGTTCTACTTGGAGGTTCAGGGTATTAACCAACTATAGCTGTACGTCTAACCCACTCAAAATATTATAAGCCCCTTAAGTATTTCGGAAGGGGTCTCGTGCCCAATCGCCGGGCTGCCCAAAGCCTAACTCCTGAAACGTCGAAAAAGGCACGTCACTCTCTGTCCTAAACCCTAAACCCCAACTACCATGTGCTTAAGAACCACCCCAAAAAATCTTGCTTACTAATTCGGGCAACATATGCATTATTGTTCTTTATTGTTTTCGGGGGGGGGGGGGGCTTAAGCAAACAGTAGCTACGAAGCCCCTGAACCACCGGAGCTGGACGGAGGCGCTCGCCAGAACAGCTCGATGTTGTAGGTCTTCTGCCGGTTGGGCAAGGACCTCCCAGCCTGGGCTGGTGGATCCAGATTGTTTTTAAAGTTTCGGGTTTCGGGTTGAGGGTTTAAGGTTTCGGGTTCAGGGTTCAGGGTTCAGGGTTAGTAAACTTTGGGGCTCTTTGGTGACAAAAGGGCTTTAAGGGCTACGGGGCTTCTACGTACGGGTTATGCGGTATAGAGCCTCGGCAGGTCGCATACACAGGAGGCTTGAGGTTAAAAGGGGGGAGGTTCCTTAGACCTTTTGGGGGTTGATAGGGTTTAGGGTTTAGGGTTGAGGGTTGAGGGTTGAGGGTTTAGGGTTTCAGGGCTTACGGGTTTAAGGGTTTACCGTTTCCCCCCCCCCCCCCCCCCCCCCCGGTGTGAAGTGGGTGGGATACGGGCCGCTTGGCCTCTGGTGGCGCTAAGAGGGTTGATTCTACAGACTTTCCACTGGTTGGGGAATGCAGCAGGGTGCAGGGCCTGCCATGGGGGTGTATAAGCTCTTGGGCCAATCTTGAAAGCACCAATAGAGACATGAGAGTTTGGGGGGTTGGGTTAGCCGAGGCTTCTGCGGTGCTCCACTGATGACACGGTGGCCCACCAATCCGGCAAACCACTGCGGCTCTGCTTATCGGATCGAAAATGACACCCCCCGAGTGGCCTGACCACTACATCTGCGGGCGGCGCCAACCAGGGGGAGACATGATCATGAAAAACAATACTGCTTACAAACAGATTGACAATAATCGTACACATTGGAACTTCAAGATCTACGAAAAAACCTTAAACACGTAAACCCTACACCGTAAACCCTTTGGAAACCGGACTTGAAACCGTAAACCCTAAACCCTAAACCCTAAACCCTGGAACCGAAAGCTGCAACGCGCCGCTGAGATGCTATGGTCTCATATGGCGCCAGGAGGTATCGCAGGGCAGTGTCGGCTCGTGCGATGGCGAGGTTGTAGTTCACCCCTGTGGCCGCTTAAGGCTCAAGCAAGCCACCAAACCATCACCCCTAATTAAACCCCTAAACCCTAAACCCTAAACCCTAAACCCTAAACCCTAAACCCCAAAAACCCATTCTGGGCTCTTCTGGTGCCTTAAAACCTCTTGGGAGCCTTTGATCACCTACACCAGGGCGTTCGACACCGGCAAAACCCTACCTTTCCCGTAGATAACCCCATCACTACATCGAGTCAGGGTTTAGGGTTTCGGGTTTCGGGTTTAGGGTTTATTGTTTAGGGTTCAGGGTTTGGGGTGCATCGAGTCATGGTGCAACTGAGCCCAGCCAGCCCAACACCCCTGAATTCAGGACATGTGCCCTACATGCGAACTACAAGGAAGTTCCAGGGCCCTAAGTATCCAAGGACCTTGCCGTTGCTCCAGGGCTCTCTCTCCCCACAAGCCGAAACCCAGAACCCCTAAACCCTAAACCCTTTATAAACCCTAAACCCTAAACCCTAAACCCTAAACCCTAAACCCGAAACCCTAAACCCTAAACCCTAAACCCTAAACCCTAACTCCGACTCCAGGCCTCCGAACTCATGGCCGGCTTGAGTCAGCACGTCTCCGCGGCCGACACACCGCAGCAGATCATCAGCTGCCGGGAAGGGGACCACGTGTAAGAAGTCGGATCTGGTAAACCTTATAGGGTTTAGGGTTTAGGGTTTAGGGTTTAGGGTAGAATGTGTAAGAAGTCGGATCTGGTAAACCTCAGCGTAAGAAGGGGGGGAGGTGCCGAAGGGTCTAGGGATCGGGAGATCCACTCTCACGATCGCGCGCGGGCAGCAGGCAAGGCTTCGTAAGGTCTATACGGTGTGACGGTGTGGTGTTTGGGGTGTATAGTGTTTAGGGCTTGAGCCTCCCGCGTCTTTTAGAGTAAGCTGGCGTGGATAAGCCGATGCATGGTATCTGCGCCCTGAACCCCCTGAACCCAGAACCTCCTATGACAGGTGTTGCTGGTATCACACGCGCCCTGCTCCATTGATTTCTATGCTCCACTTGGGGGGTCATGAGCTGCAAGTCATGTGAGGGTGTTGACTGAACCCTGCCTAAGTACGACCAATTTCCTTCAAATATCTTCCCGGAAATGCCGCATCAGAGCCCAAAATCAGGCGATCTCTTGAAGATCACTCTGAATCAGGGTTTCGAGCGGGAACCCCTACCTCAGCCCAAGAGGTAGTAACCTCCAAAACGCAAGGCTCTGAAAAGTCTGTAGGTTCAGCGTTTGGGTCGCCCGTTAGACCAAGCAAGCAGCATGAACAGATCGTACTGGTCAGTGAGGGCCATGGAAGAAAGCCGATCAGCCAGGATCTTGTGATTGATCAGGACCTGCCAGACAGAACCCATCACATTCTAAAAAACGAGGCTGAGAGCTTATTAGGGCTTGGGGGCTTGCATCTTTGAACACCCACAGTAGTGGATAGCGACAATCTCACGCGGGCAAGTCGTGCGCTCATGGTCTGCGCAGACATCTGGCTTGCTTTTCTTGCATGGGTGCAGGCGTTGGGTCATGTCTCAGCTACTGAGCAGCTACTGCTGGCCAATCCATTTCGATGGCGTCTGCCAAGGGTTCATAAGTCTGCCGAAAGGCCAATGAACCAGCTGCGTCCCCTTGCCATGAAGTGCAGGAGGAGCCCCTCCCTTTCCAGTGCCCTTGAGAGGCGGGAGAAAGTACAGCTGAGTCCTGCCAGGAGCCGTCGAGGCCGGGCCCGGGGGCGGCCGCGGCTGCGGGAGGAAGTACAGCTGGTTCCGGCCAGGAGCAGTCGAGGCCGGGCCCAAGGGAGGCCGCGCCTGGAAGACCGGTAGGGCTCCGGGGGGGCGAAACGGGACGATGGCCAAGGAGTCCACAGATGGTCTCGAAACAGAGCTCAGGCCGGATTGGGATCGATAGGCGAGGTACCTTCCACTTCCACTGGAGCTGCTGGAGGTGCCGAAGCTGCTGGAGCTGCCCCAGGAGTCTGAGCTGCCCGAGGAGTGCTCCGAGTCGCTAGAATCAAGGTCCGCGAGCGTGCGCCTGAACTGCGACGCCTCTTCTGGCGCGCCGCCGGGATCAGAGGCCTCCTCTGCCACAGGGGCCCATGGCCAGGAGGGGAACAGCCACGACATGGGTTCCAGCAAAGAGGTTATTAGCATAAGGTTTAGGGGATCTAGAAGTGAATGGCTCGGCATGGCTTCGGCGTTGTGCTTTTTTGCATGCATGTTGCTCAGGCTCTGAGTCCCACCGAACTACTTTTGAGCCGCGGGTGTGCGAGCATCCCCGAAGCATCCCTGCAGACAGTCGGGGGGCCATGCTGACGCATATGAAGTAGGGTTTATACTACTGTTTTTTTTGGTGAGTGTATATAAGGGCCCTTTTTAATGTTGGTGAGTGTGTATGCCTGGTGTCCTTTTGGGGATACAAGGAATATCTACCCTACCTCATATAGGTGTGCACTGAGGCCTTGTAGCCCTGTAGCTTCATGGTTTTTTTTTATGAAGCATGCATGAAAAGTGGTGCCACAATTTGGTGCCCGCCTATATTCAGGGTGCACAAAAACAGTGACCGCTATCTAGAGAACTGCCTCCCCTGGACCAACCGACCTCCCTTCCCTTCTGCTTCTCCTAAAAAAAAAAAACTCAAAAGCCAAAGGGTGTCTCTGTCTAAGGAACCTACCTCGGTTCATGACGAGTTTGGGTTCGGGGTTTAGGGTTTCCTTCAGGGCGTCTTCCGGAAGTAAAGGGGTCTCAACCTCCCTGCGAAGGCGCCTGTGTGTTTCCAGGGTTGATCCAGTTCCCCCTGATCTTGGACATGTCTTCCTCAGCCATTTGAGGGGGTCAGGGCTCAGGGCTTTCATTGCCAAATTCAGCCGCCTAAACCCTAAACCCTAAACCCTAAACCCTAAACCCAAAACCTAAACCCTAAACCCTAAACCACGCAGCCCATGGGCCGAAGGGGTGAGCCCCGAGACTACACCACCGGAAGTCGAACCTTATTTTACGCCACCCGCCCAGCCAAGCACCATGGGGTTTCAGCTTAGGAGGAAGGAACGTTGGTTAGGGCTTTAGGGCTGAGACTTAGGATGACCTCCTTCAGGTAAGGTGGGCAAGAGTCCGCATATCCACGCGAGAGCAGTCCTAGAGACAAGCCGAGAAATTTTCCAGCGTCGTTTGGCTGGATGAAGCTCTTGCTGGTGCTACATAGGGAGGTAAGCCCTATGGAACCCCTTACGGGATTGCCACTTCAATATGAGGAAAGGGGACCCCTACATAACCCCCCATATAGTGCGTTGTATTGGTGGGTTAGCAAGTTCAGGGTTTAGGGGGTGTCTGGGTTTAGGGTTTAGGGTTTAGGGTTTAGGGTTTAGGGTTTAGGGTTTAGGGTTTAGGGTTTAGGGTTTAGGGGGTGTCTGGGAACCAGGCTTTGGGGTTCAAGGGTTTAGGGTCTGGGGTGAACCCTAAACCCTAACTAAACCCTTTTTCGACCCAGACTCTGCACCAAAATTAGCTGGGCCACGCGCACACGAGCTCTCTCACCCTAAACCCGAAACCCCAAACCCTCAACCCTAAACCCTAAACCCTCAACCCTCAACCCTCAACCCTAAACCCTAAACCCTAAACCCTAAACCCTAAACCCTAAGGGCAAGCCTCCGGCTTGACCTGGAAGCTTGTGTTGGGCGGTACCTCTAACTCTCCCATTTTTGTCAAGTTTTGAAGAGAAAGTTTACCACCCCCCCGCCCCCACCTTAGGGTTCAGGGTTTAGTTTAGGGTTTAGGGTTTAGGGTTTAGGGTTTAGGGCATACAGGGATTCTAGGTCAACCCTGCACCCTAAACCCTAAACTCGTCCATGGCTCGAAGTTACCCTCGCCAAAGAAGATCTCAGGATCCGGCTTGTCCTAAGTCTCCAAAGAGCCAGGGTCTAGGGTTTAGGGTTTTTTCCCTCCTGCACAGTTTTAGGGTTCAGGGTTGAGGGCTTTGGGGTTTCGGGTTTCGGGCTGCGGGTTAGGGATTCTTTTCCCCTGCTGCACATCTGGGGCGAATCCACATCGCAGGGGTGACTGTGGGGTTCTTCAATGGGCACTTTAGGGTTTAGGGTTTAGGGGGATTTCCGAAAATAGGGGTACCCATTTTTTGGGGGGTCCCTGTAAGGGGATTCTATTCTACTGAGGATATAGAATGGGTACCGCCATTTTGGGAAATACCCGTATGACAGAATGAAACAAACAGACCCCCCGAAATATCTGAACTAATGTACGGATTAGGGTTTAGGGTTCTTGGGTTTTGGGCTTACTTGAAGGTTCATGGTAATTATAAATCAATTATAACTGTACTTATAACGAAAATAATAACCATATCATTAGGGCATTTAAGGGGCTTCTAAGTGGGTTGTAAATACAGTTATAATTGGCAACAAGTGCCATGAACCTCCAAGCAGGGTTTCAGGGTTCGGGGTTTAGAGTGGAATGTCCTCTTAAGACGTGTTCCGTTCAGCCCCAACCACGCGGGCAAATTCACCACACCTCCCATCTCAAAAAAAAACACAGGAACAACCACTACAAACCCCGTGTTAAAGGCTTCGGGTTGAGGGCTTTCTGCTTATACGGTTTGGGGACATGCTCTCAATAGGGTCATGAGGTCGATGGTTTAGTAATCCACTTGAGGCTTTCCTGTACCCCAAAACCCTTGACCCCAAACCGTATATGCGAGGCACCCTAGAACACTTCTTTGCCGAGTCTCTTGCGGTTTCGGGTTTAGGGTTTAAGGATTTAGGGTTAAGGGTTTAGGGCTTAAGGGTTTAGGGCTTAAGGGTTTAGGAGTCAGGGTTCAGTGTTTAGGGTTCAGGACCTAGGACTTAGAAAGTGTAAACCTGCCGCGGGGCGTAGAGCTCCGCAGCCAGAAGGCGTGCGCCCAACTGCAGGCGGAGCGTCTCGCAGCGGAGCTCATCATCCTGGCAGATGGGGGTGTGCGACAGATAGGGTTTAGGATTTATAGGGTTTAGGGTTTAGGGTTTAGGGTTTAGGGTTTAGGGTTTAGGGTTTAGGGTTTAGGGTTTTCAGGGACATCTCAGGATGCACTTTTCTGGGGATTACATGTCAAGGGTACCCCTTTTTGTAGGAAATTCCCGATTGGGTTCATGTCTGGGGGCAGTGATAACATAGGGGTTCTATAGAAGAAGGTTTAGGGTCTGCAGGGTTGAGGGTCTAGGGGTTGGAGGTTCGTGGGTACTTTTAACCCCAGTTACAACTATTCTTATGACCCACCCAAGTCCCCTAAGCAGGTTCTAAGTAGACTTCTAATTGGGGTTAGAAGTCCCCATGAACCTCCAGGCAGGAGCCCTGAAACCGACACCTGTAGGTTTAGGGTTTATATTGTTTAGTTGAGAGCGCCGGGGTTTCTGGGGCAGTGCTTGGGCAAATAAACAAGCTCCCTTCGTGAAACCCTAAACCCTAAACCCTAAACCGGGAGGTCGTAGGGTTTAGGGCTTTAGGGTTCAAGGGTTTAAAGTTTGGGGTGGTCCTAGGGTTGCAGGCTTTACCGCTACAGAGACCGTGCTGTTTAAGAAATCACCGTAGAAGGCAACTTGTGATCACCTTTCAGCCAAGACACATAGGCCAGCTCTCGTGTGAGTGGGCCAGTTCTTAAAATTCTGCTTAGCGCACTGGCAATCGTGACTCTCCATGGAAGTTTATGAAACTTGGGGACCCCTACCGCCGAAAAAACGCGTAATTGCACAACGCTATCAATGCAGCCTGATGTGGGGCCTGAGGATGCCACGCCAGAAAAAACCCGAAAGCTCCAAGAAGCAGCACCCTCCTGCAAGTCTGAAGACCAGACTGCACATCCCTTGACAGCAAGACCCTAAACCCTAAACCCTAAACCCTAAACCCTAAACCCTAAACCCTCCCCGGCATCACTCCAGCTTGCCCACACGACAAATACGAGACCGCTGCAGCAAAAAGCCAAACAGCAAACACCAAGGAACCTGAAACCGAAAGAACACTACACTTTACCTGGGTGTTGCTTTAAAGCCCTTTGAAAATTATTTATGAATAGGTTCCCTTAAAAGCGTATTCCCAACCCTAGTCCTTAGATAAATTCTACACCCTAAGCCAAACCCGATGCAACGTTCGGCACCTCTCAGCCGATATTTCAAACATGCACTCCTATGTCAGGCGGCAACCCGAAGCGCCGTTACATCAGGCTTAAGTGTCCCGAACCCTACCCTAAATCCTAAACCCTAAACACTGTAAACCCTTTAAACCCTGTAAACCCTTCAAACCGTGTAAACCCTAAACCCTATACCCTAAACCCTAAATCCTAAACCCTAACCCTTAAACCCTGAGCCCTGCAAACCCAACCCTAAACCCTAAACCCTAAACCCTAAACCCTAAACCCTATACCCTAAACCCTAAACCCCAAAATGCCAGAAGCCACTAGCGCTCCTCCAGGGCACGCTGCGCGACGACGAGGAGATCGGCGTCGATCGGCTCCTAACAGGCCAATGCCCTGTGATTTTTAGGGTTTAGGTTTAGGGTTTAGGGTTTAGGGTTTAGGGTTTAGGGTTTAGGGTTTAGGGTTTAGGGTTTAGGTTTAGGGTGGGTTTAGGGTTTAGGGTTTAGGGATTTGGGAGCACTTTGGGCGTTTTGAGTGGCCGCGATGCGCTTCTCCGGGCCTATCCTTACACCAACCCCAGGCGGTTTCCTTATGATTTGCATGTTTTGTTGGGCAGGGGGAGATGGGGTGGGACCCATGTCAACCCCCGCACTCTCCCGTAGATTTAGGGTAGTACCACCCGAAGCCCTAGACCCTAAAGGTTTCGGGTTTAGGGTTGAGGGCTTGTAGGGTTTATAGCTTGGAGGGTTTATAGGGGTTTTCAAGGGTTTATGGGGCTGTTAGGCGTTTAGGCACCCTTACAGCCCGCAGCTTCAACTTGAGGATCCCGCGCTGAAGATGTTACGACAGGGGGCCTGGGTCAACTTGTTAACTTGGTTAGGGTTTAGGGTTTAGGGTTTAGGGTTTAGGGTTTAGGGTTTAGGGTTTAGGGTAACCATAGTATGATAAGGGCACCCTTGTTTGGGTTGGTTATTTCAGTAGGGAAACCATAAACAAAAAAGAAGGGCAAAGGGTA